CGCTTTCTGAGTGCCCTCCCACCTTCCAGTCCTATATCTGACAATGTTTCTCTGCTATGCATAGAGTTTTCAGTGACTAGCGATTCGGAAGCAGAATATAGTAGAGTAATATTTTTTAAAGTATTTATTAAATTACTTTAATAAAAAAATTCCTATTTTTCTCTTCCTATTTGTTAACTCCTATTCACTTTCATGGTGTGATGCTGTGGGCTAAAGCCCTCGACCACAAGGACAGTTTGAACCACAAGGTCAGCGGTTCAAGCTCATCAGCCACTCCCTGGAAACCCTAGAAAGTGTTGCTATGAGTTAAGATCAACCCGATGGCATTTAACAATCATGCTTTCTGATTTAAGCCTACCCATGGTTCCTTTGCGATAATCTTAGCCCCACATAGAAACTCCCCCCACCCTTTTTTTTTTAACAGGTTTATTGATCTATTTTAATGGGACAGAAGACAAATTAACATTTTGTGGTTGCACTTTTTTTTTTTTTTTTTACAATGAAATGAGACTCTGAATTGTTAGGGGGAAGGGGGAAAAGGGAAAACGCTCTTCTTGGGCCAATTTTTTAAACAGTGTAGGTTCCAACTGCTGAGATAAGCCTCTTGCTGAATCATATATTATGTTTTCTTGTTTTGTTTCTTAATGTTTTATTGTGAATTATGTGATAGTTTACATGGGAGAACATTAGTTTTACATTCATCCTATTGTATATCGTTTCGTTGCCATGGTTACAATCTTCTTCATGCATCATCAAACAACCAAAGGGTATATATACCCTGCAGGCCTTCCTACTGGTTGTCAGCACAAAGCCCCTCTCCCTCTCTGGGTCTAGAGCCCCCAGCTGCTCCATCTTGCCACGCCTCCATCTCTGGTGTCACTGCTTCTCTGGGTAGGGTCCCGCATTCCGCTCTTCTCCCTTGATGGTCCCAGGGACCTCTGCTCCTTTTGGTACAAAATGTCTACCTCTATATTTCCAACCCTCACAGCCAGTCCCACATATAAACCCTTTTGAGTTTCCCTTCAGCCTTCCAGCCTCTCCAGTCTCATCTCTACCACAGAAGCCAAATCAGCTGTGCTCCACAGGGTTGTCAAGGCTGTGAACTCTTGGAAGCAAATCAACAGGCCAGTTGTCTGAGACAAACTGGGTGGGTTTGGACTCCCAACTTTCTAGCTAGTAAGTCAAGCACTTTATTGTTTACACCACCTAGGGACACCTGGCTCATAACCTACATTGAAATAAATGTTAAGCAGAAATGTTCAGAAGGAAAAGGCTGGTTTAAAAGTAGAGAAACTTGACAAGTTAAATGTCACCAAAAACGATTCCCATAGCCTGGACCCCAACCACACGTCAGTAAGGAAAGTCACTCTTGTGACAATCTCATTGGCCTCTGAGAAATCGTGCTTGGCATTTTCATGAGTTCACATCAGTCTAGGAGACGCAGGAGTGGAAAGCTGATATATCAAGCCACTCATCATTTCAGCCATGATACAAAATCAACCTAAGCCAGAATTGAATGTTTTATAATACCACTAGTAAATATACAGTATTTGACAGATTGGTTGTTTAAAGAAAAATTTTTTTATCCTGTTTAAAACAACTAAACAGAGATCTTGTTTGCAAGCCTGTGTTGTTCTTACTTAATAAGATACACATGTACACCCAAGGGCGTATTCAAGACTTCTCAGTTTCTAGGTTGGGGAGCACACTCTGCCAACCCAGCAACCAAGACTGCTGGCCAGGACACAGCACTTCACAGTTGAGAAGAAACTGCATTTAACAGAACATGACAAGCAGAAGCGCGTAGCGTGTGTTGCACGCTACTGGAAAAGGTAAGCAGCTTTAGGACTTTTCATAGGGTGGGTGTGATTTGTCGGGGGCAGTTCTGCATTAAAAACTTGTACATACACAACCTTGCTAGTATGTTTGAAAAAGCACAAATACCAGAAGCAGTCCAACTCAGTGACAGAGCATTTCTAATTGACAGAGGAGCAGGGGAATTCTGGGATTATCCCTCAAAAGGAATGATCTCCAAATTGCTTTTCTACATTTTTGCACCCAAAAATTTAACACAGAGTATTTTATCTTTGCAAAAATTTGCTCTTGTCAATAGCAAATTGTTGATGTTAGGCGTCACCGAGCTGATTCTAACTCATCATGACCCCATGTGGCAGAACAGAACACTTAGGTGCTGTCAATCTTTAGCTTCTATAAATAAAAATAAACAGCATGCTTAAAATAACAGAAAAACAAAACACAAGAAAATATACCTGAAACTCCACTATCAATCCTGCTCCCTCAAAAACTCAATGCTTGATTCTCCTAGGCAATCTCAAGGACATATGATGGTGCTGTAGGATAAGAATTGGAGTGCTAACTACAAGGTAGGCAGTTCAAATCCACCAGCCACTCCATAGGAGAAAGATGACACTTTCTGCTCTTATAAAGATTCATAGCCTTGATTGGAATTGACTCAATGGCAGTGAGTGAGCGCGTTAACAAGACAAACTCAGATATGGAATCACCTTAACTACAACCACTGACTATCTTGGTTCAGTCTTGCTGTTTGTCTACTCTGCAAGCTTAACTCATTCAGCTCATGAAACAATGTTGTTGTTGTAGTTAAGTGCCGGTGAGTCGATTCCAACCCATAGCGACCCAGTATAGGGTTTCCGAGGAGCAGCTGGTGAGCTTGAACTGCCGACCTTGCAGTTCAAACGGCTTTGCAGTCTAGCACATTAACCCACAGCGCCACAAATGTAGAGGGTCACATAAATTATTAAAGTGCCTGTCTGATGGTGAAGTATCTACTAACCTGTAATGTGAGACAAGCTGACCTGCAGGTAATCCAAAGCCAGTGAGTCAATCACTGCCTGTACATTGTGGGCATCATCCTCCTGACTCCCGGGAGTAACAATGAGGTCTGTGGGGAAAAAAAATTTATAAAGTTTTGCCCCTATAAGGGCCCACGTTTTTATGTTTCTGACCAAGTTTCTGAGTAAGCTCAACTTCCACAAAAGTAGCTCTACCCAAACAGGACAGGCTATAAAGTCCAGACAAAGTTCAAAGAGCCTGAATTCCACACAGTAAAATATTCACTTATGTAACCACTATATAAATAAGGACTCCACAGCACATAACAACAACAACATATAAATAAGGGGCTTCAAAAGTTCATGGAAAAAAAAAATTAAAGATAAAAAAATTCCTGGAAAAATTTTATTAAGTACTTCCTCCACCTTGTATATGAACAAGCTCCACAACAAGTACACACTATTGAAAATAAAACCCAATCCAGCTTGCAGGCAAGCTGATTCTGAATCAAGGTGACCCCATGCACTTCAGAATAGAGCTGTGCTCCTCAGGGTTTTTAATAACTGTAATCTTGGAGGTAGATCATCAGGCCTTTCTTCACTGGTGCCACTGGGTGGGTTTGAACCATCAACTTGTGGGTTAGCGCAAACTTTCTGCCACCACTCAAGGATCTTAATGGAAGATAAAAACAAATCAAACTCCCTGCTGTCTAGTTAATTCCTACTCCTGGCAACTCTATTTGTTACAGAGTTGTTGTTACGTGCCACTGAGTTGGTACTGACTGACTGTGACCCTATGTACAACAGAACAAAACACTGCCAGGTCGTAAGTCAACCTCACAATCGTTGCTACGTTTGAGTTCATTGCTGCTGCCACTGTGCCAATCCATCTAGTTGAGAGTCCTCCACTTTACCAAGCCTGGTATCCTTCTCCAAGGTCTGGACCCTTCCTGATAAATTGTCCAAAGTATGAGAGATGAAGTTTGGCCATGCTGGCTTCCAAGGAACATTTTTCTGTACTTTTGCCGAGACAGATCTGTCTGTCCTTTTGGTAGTCCATGGTACTTTCAATATTCTCTTTCAACAACATAACTCAGATGTATCAATTCTTCTAGTTTTTCTTACTCACTGTCCAACTTTCACACGCATATGAGGTTATTCAAAATACTATGGCGTGGGTCAGGCGCACCTTAGTCCTCAAACTGACATTGTTGCTCTTGAACGCTTTAAAGAGGTCTTGTGCATCAAATATGCTAATGCAACACATCATCTAATTTCTTGACTGCTGCTTCCATGAGTGTTGATGGGTGATCTGAACAAAATGAAGTCTTTGACAACTTCAATCTTTTCTCCACTGATAAGGATGTTTATTAGTCCAGTGGTGAGGATTTTTGTCTTCTTTACATTGAGGTGCAACCCATACTGAAGACTGTGGTCTTTGATCTTCATCAGTAAGTATTTTAAGTCCTCTTCACTTTCAGCAAGCAAGGTTGTATTATGTGCATATCGCAAGTTGTTAATAAATCTTCCTCCAATCCTGATGCCACAGTTTTCTTCATATAATCCAGTTTCTCAGATTATTTGCTCAGCAAACAGATTAAGTATGATGAAAGAATATAATCCTGGCACACACCTTTCCTAATTTTAATCCATTCAGTGTTCCCTTGTTCTGTTTAAACAACTGCCTCTTGGTCTATGTACAGGTTCCTTATGAGCACAATTAAGTGTTCAGAATACTCAGTCTCAGCAATGTTATTCATAGCTTTTCATGATCCACACAATGGAAAGCCTTTGTGTAGTCAGTAAAAGACAGATAAACATCTTTTGGTATTTCTCTGCTTTCAGTCAAGATCCATCTGACATCAGCAATGATATCCCTCGTTCCACATCCTCATTTGATTCCAACTTGAACCTCTAGCAGTTCTCTGTCAATGTACACTTGTAGCTGTTTTTGGATCATCTTTAGCAAAATTTTACTTGTGTGGGGTATTACTGATATTGTCCGGTGACTTCGCATTCCATTGGGTTACCACCTCTCTTGGGCACATAATATGGATCTCTTTCAGTCAGTTGGCCAGGCAGGTAGTTGTCCTCCAAATTTCTTGGCATAGTTGACTGAGTGATCCAGTGCTTTGTCAGTGTTTTGAAAAGATTTCAATATGTATTTCATCAATTCCCAGAGCCTTGTTCCTTGCCAATGCCTTCAGTGCACCTTGGACTTCTTCAGTACCATGGTCTCTTGATTATGTACTACCTCTTAAAATGGTTGAACATCAACCATTTAATTTTTGTACAATGACTCTGTGTATTCTTTCCATCTTCTTTGGATGTTTTCTGTATCATTCAATATTTTGGCCAAAATTGAGGCTTGAATTTTTTCTTCAGTTCCCTCAGCTTACGAAATGTTGAGCGTGTTTGTCCCTTTTATTTTTCTAACTCCAGGTCATTGCACATTTTGTTATAATATTTGACTTTGTCTTCTCGAGCTAACCTTTGAAACTTTCTATTTAGCTCTTTTACCTCCTCATTTCTCCCATCTGCTTTAACATCTCTACACTAAAGAGCAAGTTTCAGAGTCCCTTCTAACACCCATTTTGGTCTTTTCTTCTTTCTTGTCTTCTTAATGACCTTTTGCTTTCTTCCTGAATGATGTTCTTGATGTCATCCCACAACCCTTCTGGTCTTTGATCTTTAGTGTCTAATGCATTAAATTTGTTCTTCAGATCTCTAAATTCAGGTGGGATATGTTCAAGGTTATATTTTGCCTCTCATGGACTTCTTTTAATTTCTATTCAGCCTGAACTTGCTTATGAGCAACTGATGGGCTGTTCCATAGTCTGCCCCTGGACTTGTTTTGGTTGATAATATGGAGCTTTTCCATTGTCTTTTTCCACATATGTAGTCAATTTGATTTCTGTTTATTCCATCTGGTGAGGTATATGTGCATAGTCTTCTTTTATGTTGTTTAAAAAGGGTATTTGCAATGGAAGAAGTCATTGGTCTTGCAAAATTCTATCATGTGATTTCCAGCATAGTTTCTATCACCAAGGCCATATTTTCCAACAACTCATCATTCCTCTGTTTCCAACATCCGCATTCCAATCACCCATAATTATCAATACATCTTGACTACGTTTGATTAATTTCAGACTGAAAAAATTGATAAAATTTTTCAATTTCATCATCATTAGCTTTAGTGGTTGGTGAGTAAATTTAAACAATAGTGGGTGGCATCAACTGATCTTCCTTGTTGTTGTTGTTGTTAAGTGCCTTCGAGTCTTCCTTGTAGGCATATGGATATTATCCTTATCCTATCACAAGACAGCATTGTACTTCACGACAGATCTTGATATGTTCTTTTTTGATGATAAATGCAAAATCATTCCTCTTCAATTTGTCATTCTTGGCATATAAATCACATGATTTTCAGATTCAAAATGGCCAATATCAGTCCATTTCAGCTCACTAATGCCTAGGATATCAATGTTTATGCATTCCATTTTCATTTTTGACAATTTTCAATTTTCTTTGATTCATACCTTGTATGTTACGTGTTCTGATTATTAATGGATGCTTACAGCTGTTTCTCTTCATTTTGAGTTGTGCTCCATTAGCAAATGAAGGCACAACTTTGAAACAACACTTTGAAAAGGCAGCTCTTCCACAGTTGTATTTGGAGCGTCTTCCAGCCTGAGGGGCTCATCTTCTGCTACTATATCTGACAATATTCTGGTGCCCTTCATCATATTTCAATATCTAATATTGTGTTACCATCTGACAGTGTTCCACTGCTATTCATAAGGTTTTCAGTGACTAAATATTTAGATGTAGGCCATCTCTTCCTTCTTCCTATTCTATCGTTGTCTAGAAACTCATCTGAAACCTGTCCACCATGGTTGACCCTGCTGGTATTTAAAATACCAGTGGCATAGCTTCCAGAATCACAGTAACATGCAGCCACCACAGCACGACAATCCAGCAGACAAGTGGTGGTGCTGCAGAGTAGAAGTGCTCTGTAGGGTTTCCTAGACTCTAATCTTTACGGAAGCAGACCACCAAGGCTTTTTTCCATGGTATCTGCTAGATGGGTTTGTTCTACCAACCTTTAGGTTAATAGCTGAGAGCACCCAGTGTGTCACCCAGAGACGTTATGAGTTGATTCTGACTCGCAGGTACTCTATGGGACAAAGTAGACCTGCTCCATTAGGTTTCCAAGACTGCACATCTTTGTGGGATCAGACAGCCTCATCTTTCTCCTATAGAGTGGCTAGTGAGTTTGAACTGCTCACCTTGCGGTTAGCAAGCCAATGCACCACGAGAGCTCCTTACAGACGATAAAGGAGCCCCTTAATTCAAGGAGATGATAATCCTGTGAGAAGGAAGGCAAGGTGCAAGAGGCGAGACTTCAACATTTGTCACTGTTTTCCCAGGGCAGCGGCAGCAGCAGGTATGAATGGAGCGGTCTAATATGCCCCAACAGTGGTCTTATTGGGAATTACAACATAAAGGTAAAAAAGGTCAATCTCTGTAAGATAGGCATTGGACTGTGAACAACAAAGTTGGCAGTTCGAGTTCCCTAGATACTCTGTGGGAGAAAGATGAGGCTTTCTGCTCCCGCAAAGATGTACAGACTTGGAAACGTAGGGTCACTATAAGCTGGAACCAACTCGACAGCACTTAACAACACAGACCAGCATGGAAAGATTTGAATATCAATTTAAGTTTGGAGTTTCATTTCTGGTTATTGAAGATGAATGTTTGGGGGCAGGATGAAAAAAAAAAAGTGTTTTTAAAAAGACAAGTCTATGTGCCAAAGAGAATTAGAGAGGCTAAAACTAGTATCAAAGATACCAGCTAGAAACCATCCCATTACCAACTCATGGTAACAGCGGGAATGGAAAAAAGAGTATGTGCACAGCTCTTGAATACTTAAGAGATTATTCACAATCTAAAGAGACGGAGGCAGTAGAAGAATCTGTGGATTAGGGGTGCTGAGAAATTTGACTTAGTATAAATTTATATACAGTAGCCCTAGAAGAAATGAGCAAGTTACAACTTTCAACATGAGAGGACCTGACTTTATTAACTGTCTTCTTGGCAGATTGTTGTTGTTTGGTCCTGCACCAGTCTCACAACTGTTGTTACACTTGAGCTGTTAACGCTGTCACTGTGCCAATCCATCTAAATTGAGGGGTCTTCCTTTTTTTCGTTGATCCTCTACTCTACCAAGCATGATATCCTTTCCTGGAGACTGGTCCCTACTGATAACAAGCCCGAAATATGAAAGACAAAGTCTCATCATCTTGGATCCTAAAGAGCATTCTGGCTATTCTATTTCCAACACATATTTATGTGTTCTTCTGGCAGTCCATGGTATTTTCAATATTCTCCAACACCTAAACTCAAATGCATCCATTCTACAGTCTTCCTTATTCGCTGTCCAACTTTCACATGCATATGAGATTACTGAAAACACCATGGCTTGGCTCAGGTGCGCCTTAGTTCTCAACCTGATATCTTTGCTCGTGAACAGTTTATAAAGAAGTTTTGTGCAGCAGATTTGCCCAATGCAATATATTGTTTGATTTCTTGAAAGCTGAGGTTCATAAAATATAAACATCATTCTCATCTCTAACATTAGTTATGTAACAGGATCCAACAAGTTCCACTCACATTTAAAGCCTCTGAAGGGACATTTTCAGAAAGGGTGGGTTTTCACAAGGCATTGGGCATAATTAGACTATTCAGTGATTACCAACAAGCATCAAACTGATTTGATCAATGTTATGTGCGGGTCTCAAAAGGTATTCATTAAGATAATGAATGTAATATTTAAGTAGAAATAGGATGTAGACAAACAGAAAGCACTGGACTTCAAAGCACAAAGAGCGCAGGGTTGCTATGTGTGAAAAACAACACTTAACTACAAAAAGAAAACACAAGATTTTATAATTAACAAAAGAAGTGAAAGCACAAGAAACTTGTAGTTCAAACAATTCTTCTTTAGTGTCCTTACCTGGTACCCTTTCTCCCAAAATTGATTGATAAAGAGCAATAAAAACATTAGCATCACAGTCTTTCAGTGCACGTATCCTCAGGTGTATGTGACATTTCAAAAGAAGGTTATTGGCAATGGTTACCCACTCTGTTGGGAAAGGAGGGGAGAAGATCAATCACAAGTACTAGTGGAACTTATGTTCACACTTTCAAAACCCAACAGACCCCCACCAAAACAGACCCCGACCAAAACAGACTGTGACCTCTGTAGAAGGTAATAGTTAAAAGAACCTCCTAAGCATTTGTAAAGCAATATTTAAATAAAACTGGGGGGGGGGGAGAGATGACTTCCAGAGATTTACAATTTCAATGTTGTCAACACAATGATGCAAACCCAATTTTTACTGCTGCAGCCAAAATTCTTAGGCAATTAGCCCATAGTTTTTATTTTTATAAGGCTTGCATAGGTTCTTCTACTTAATGCATATTGATAAATAAATGGGAATATTATGTCATAGAGACTAATTAATGAATCTTACTTCAAATTCCCAGTAGTACTGGACATGTTTTTACTCAATTCTCATGTGCAAACAGGATTTCTCTGGTGCCCAAAGAGGTAGTGATTAAGCTGTTAAACATGACTGCATTTTATTGTTTTATTTAGTGTATTCGATATGAAACTATGATACATAAAAACATCTTTTTCATCACCTAAACTCAGAACTAACACATTAACAACATACTGTTGCAGTTCTTTGTGTGCACCCTATCTACCCCAGACCTCCTGTCGCCCCTCCCCCCCAACTCCCGTTCCTTAAAACATTAGTGGGATTAGCAAAGTATTTCAAAGGGTCTTTAGATCAAAGGTAACTTAGAAAGCTGGAAACACTTGCTCCCTAAAATGATAAGCAGAGCAGTATGATTCAGTATTAGAAACATCTTCATTATGTCCTGGAAACATATGTGTTTTATGGGACGGGAGGAAACCAACCCTTAACTACAAAGAGAAAACACAATATTTTATAATTAACAAAAGATGGGAAAGCATATCCTTCTCCCCATTTCTCACGGTTGACAAAACCATGACAACTGGTGTGTAAGCAGTCCTGGGGGAAACGCTGAAAGCGTCCTAGACAACCAAATCAATTCGCCTTCCATAAGCGATGCTAGACAAAGCCGGTAACTCTAGAGGGCACTGAGGAGAAAAACAAAAAACTCCACCACTATTCCACAGTGGCAGGGATTTTGACAGATCTAAAGAGTGCAAAGTCTCAATATGGCCTCGGTCCCCACAATCGACAGTGGTCAGATGCTCCAACGAAATACCAAGTTCGGAGACAATTCCTGACAGATTTTTGCGATCTGGATGCAGGTGTGCAGGCTGCCTCGCCGAAAGGCCATTCTTTCCCTCACCCAGATGGCTGCCCGATGGTAACGAAGCGGGCAGTGGGGCTGAAACCGTATCTATAGAGCCCGCGGACCGCAAGAAGATATTTGACAAGAGTCTGGCAGGCAGGCTAGACCCAGGCTCAGCCCAGCTCTATAACAGTGGGCAAGAGGGCACTAGGTGAGTACAAAAGCTTCACTCCCTGCCAGCAGGGTGCCAGGCTGAGACTCACCAGCCTCTGAGCCGGCCATGGCGCGGAGGCAATTCGCTTGCGGAGTCCCAGCCAGGCGCGCAGACGACGGTGTCCTGGAAGGGCCGTACAGCACGGTCACAGCGGTGGGAGGAGGGGAGGAGAAAGAGAAGTGTGGAGGGGGGTGGAAGAGGGAGGGACGTTAAAACGGCTTCTCGTTGCTGATTGGTCATTGGATGAGCACTTCCCTTCATAGCACGCGCCACGGCGGCGGTTTGCGGGATCTAGATCACATTCTCCGCGGGCAAGATCCCGCTAAGAGGTTCTCAGATCGTTAGGTTTGACAAGCCAGGTCATCCACCGGCCTTGCCTGGTCTCCCGAGGGAATTAGAACGGCACTTCCGGTGAGGTGATTTGCTATGTATTCCTCCGCCAACGCTAATTGGGAAGTAGTGCGGCCGAGTCACCGGTGGGCGGGGGGCAAGCCACGTGACATCAGACTACGCTTTATTGTGTCACTTAAATTATGGGCGTGAGGTTCTTTGGAGGCGTAAACATCTCCGAGTAGGGAGACTGGACTGGCCTGTATTAGCCGCTTGATATTCTGAGGTGGACTTGGGAAAGGCTGTGGTGGGTTTCTAAAAGTGTAAAGACGTCAAAAAAATTAACTTCAGAAAGTATAGCACATTTCAGTGATGGCTAGTTCAGATACGAAAGGGGAGAGAAACGGAAGGCCCCGAAAAAGGGACTGGGGGAACGATGCGAACATGGCGGATTCCGGAACGTAGACGGGCGTTGCGGCCTTTGCGCAGGGGGCGGGGCGATTAGGTCATAGAGCGGCTCCCAGAATTCTTTGCGGTGGAGGAGGCGGGCCAGACTATAAAACCGGCAGCCGTGAAGCGGCCGGCACCTCATTCATTTCCTTCGGTCTTTGGTTGTTCAGCTCCGGCTCTAGTCAACGCCGGCTTTCCGCCATTGCCGCCCCCGCAAGTCTTCGCCGTCGCCACCCCTAGCGACTCTACGCCCCCGATTCTCCTCAGTTTGTTCCCCCATCAACCGCAACCATTGACGCCATGTCAGGTTATTCGAGTGACCGAGACCGCGGCCGGGATCGAGGGTGAGTGTGGAAACCGACCTGTCAGGCCTGGCGAGTGGGGGATGGGAGGTGACCGGTGTGTGTGGTGGGGGGAGGGAGGGCGACGCCGCTGTGGGAACAGGCGTTTTCTCAACCCATGTTTGGGCCTTCTCACTCCTAAGTTTTGCGCGGTTTTGAGATTTTCCTAAAACTGATTACACGAAGTTTGCTATTTTTTGGGCTTGAAGCTCACATTTCTTTTATTTTCCGGCACGGGGGCATCGGGCCCTCGGCGATTTAGCAGTTGTTGGGAGGATTCGGAGGAACATATTGTGAGGTGGGGCGGAGGGAAACGTGACGCTTCGAAGCGGACGAAATAGCTGCGGTTCGGTGCACCCCAGCGGGAGCTATTTGCGGGACCCCCAGGAATTTTATAGGAGCTAGGGGTCCGTCCGTAGGCATTCAGGCGGTGGGGGTGGGAGGGGAGCCGGCGTCGCTGAGTTCGGCCATGTGGCGCAGCCGCGGGCACAAAATGCCGGCCTCGGACATGGCGGCGGCGCCTTTGTTACCCCGCCCGGCGGAGGAGCTCAAAATGGCAGCGTCGAGAAAATGTGGCGCAGAGAGAAATGCGAGACAAAGGGGGAAGCGCCGCCCCAGCGGGAACGCCGCCCGACGGACTCCGCCCGGGCCGGGACTCCTCCCCCGGTAGTCGCCGGCTCCTCCTACTCTTCCTGGTGTTATGTAATTTCGCCACGGTGATCGCGAGCTTCTCAGCGGGATCCCCTTGCCCAGGTGTCCTCGAGACCACCCCGTTGTTCGGCTTGTACTTAGTCCGCTGTCCCGTTATCGATCTCGAAAACCAAGGCATCTTAGCCAAAAACAGTTGTATAAACAACATCGCTGTCCTTACAATCTGAACTGCCGTTAGGACTGGCAGTTTCTCACATGGTAAATCCCGGGCGGTGTGCCTGGCTTTGTGTACTTTGGGACGACGGGAACTGCCATGGTGCTGTTTAATAGCTTGTTAACAGAACGGCGATCCGTGGGTGTAGCCTTTAGATCTCCATAAGTCTGATTTGAATGATGTTAAGCAGGAATCAAGGACCGGGCAGTGTTGTATTTAGTTTTGCATAAGATCCCTTGTGAGTCGGAAACGGAGGCGCCTAGCGACAATGGACGGTAAATAAGTCTGTTTATCAGTCCATACACAGCCGTCTGTAAAAAAAATCTTTCCCCCCTCCCACCCAGGTTTGGGGCACCTCGATTTGGAGGAAGTAGAGCAGGGCCTCTATCTGGAAAGAAGTTTGGAAACCCTGGGGAGAAACTAGTTAAAAAGAAGTGGAATCTGGATGAGCTGCCCAAATTTGAGAAGAATTTTTACCAAGAACATCCTGATTTGGCTAGGCGCACAGCGGTGAGTAGTTTCAAGATACGCCCCGATGACTATTATCTACTCTAAGTATGGCTACCAGTTCCTAGGTTTGTGGGGGATTCATACATTGTGATTTGTAATTGGGAAAGATGTGGTTCATATTTGGAAACTAGTGACTTTAAATTTGTTTCTTGGACAAGTTGAGAATACTGTAATGAGTGGTTTTTGTGTTTTATAAGGTTTTTACATCAAATCAAGGATGGTTTACTGTAGCTAATTAAGTGGAAGTTTAGGGTCTTGGTAGTTGCATGTTTAGTTACTGGGTGTTATTGCCTGAAATTATTATAATCATTTTGCCTATTGCAATCAATTTGCAGCAAGATGTGGAGACATACAGAAGAAGCAAGGAAGTTACGGTTAGAGGTCACAACTGCCCAAAGCCGGTTTTGAACTTTTATGAAGCAAACTTCCCTAGTAAGTACTAGTTTTGAATTCCATGTTTTTCTTCTTCATTCTTCTTAGCATTACTAAGGTTTTTTGTTTTTGTTTTTTTTGTTTTTTGCTAAATTGCTCCTAATTATTACAGCAAATGTCATGGATGTTATTGCAAGACAGAACTTTACTGAACCTACTGCTATTCAAGCTCAGGGATGGCCAGTTGCTTTAAGTGGATTGGATATGGTTGGAGTAGCACAGACTGGATCCGGGAAAACATTATCTGTAAGTTAGAGAGCAATTTTGAGTACCTTATGGTATATGCTAGAGAAGATAGATTTGGAATTGAAAGAGACTTGGGGGGAGTATATTAATAAAAATGACTGTTTCTGTTCCTCTGTACTTTCTTCTCCCCCGTTAGTACTTGCTGCCTGCCATTGTCCACATCAATCATCAGCCATTCCTAGAGAGAGGTGATGGGCCTATTGTAAGTATATATTTTACTTATTTGAGAAAATGTGTGGTCGTTAACACTAACAAATTCCCAATTTAAGATGAGGATCCAGGTCTGTGCTAAACATTGTTTCTTTCACTTAGTGCTTGGTGCTGGCGCCGACACGGGAACTGGCCCAACAGGTGCAGCAAGTAGCTGCTGAATACTGTAGAGCATGCCGTTTGAAGTCTACCTGCATCTATGGTGGTGCTCCCAAGGGACCACAAATACGTGATTTGGAGAGAGGTATGTAGTGTAGGAGTCCTAGTGTGGCACAAGGCTAAACACTAGACTGGTAACTGCAAGGTTGTTTGCCACTCCCTAGAAATCCTATATGAGGCCAAATCAATCTCAATGGCACTTTTAACAAAAACGTAGTAGAAAAGCTTCTATTTGTCCTGGTTGGTGCTGAAGAATCTAGGTGCAATAATTAGATGTGTATATTTAATTGAAGGTGTGGAAATCTGTATCGCAACACCTGGAAGGCTGATTGACTTTTTAGAATGTGGGAAAACTAATCTGAGAAGAACAACCTACCTTGTCCTTGACGAAGCAGATAGAATGCTTGATATGGGCTTTGAACCGCAAATAAGAAAGATCGTGGATCAGATAAGAGTAAGTCCTCTTAAAAATTAAGTCTTCAAATTCAACTCTTAGAATTAACTTTTAGGGCACAAAAGTGATTATTTTTCCCCAAAACTTAACTTTAGCCTGATAGGCAAACCTTAATGTGGAGTGCGACTTGGCCAAAAGAAGTAAGACAACTTGCAGAAGACTTCCTGAAAGATTACATTCACATAAACATTGGTGCACTGGAACTGAGTGCAAACCACAACATTCTTCAGATTGTGGATGTGTGCCACGATGTGGAGAAGGATGAAAAGTAAGTGTTCATAAGTCTTCCTAATTCAAATTTCTGTCAGATGATTGTCATGATTCTACATTCCTGTAGGAAAAGGAATGCGTTTCTTTGCCTTGTAGGCATGAAAATCAATGCTTATGCTGTTCACATGAACTGCTTTAAACCTTTCCTTTTCATTCTAGACTTATCCGTCTAATGGAAGAGATCATGAGTGAGAAGGAGAATAAAACCATTGTTTTTGTTGAAACCAAAAGAAGATGTGATGAGCTTACCAGGAAAATGAGGAGAGATGGGTATGTGAACTTCTTTGGTGAAGTTGATTTGTGTAGCAAAGGGTAATTTTAAAGCACTGGTAATGAATTTGATCTATGACAATTGCCTTTTAGTATTGTTAAATGCCGTCGAGTCAGTTCCAAGGAGTGGCTAGTGAGCTTGAACTGCTGACTTTGCTGTCTAGCACATTAGCTCACAGCACCACTACAGGACTCCACTTCTTAGTATAGGGAAAGCTATTTTTTAATTTCAATGAGGTTAAAGGGAATCTGTGACCCAAAAATGGCTAATGACGGCAATCAGATTTCAAATGGGAGTTGGCTAATGCCATGTATCTTTAATTTAGGTGGCCTGCCATGGGTATCCATGGTGACAAGAGCCAACAGGAACGCGACTGGGTTCTAAATGGTGAGTAATCAAATGAAGTTTTTTTTTCTTTCACGCTTTTCTTTAAATTTCTGCTCAGGCTAATGGTTATATAACTATATACTTTTTTTTTGCAGAATTCAAACATGGAAAAGCTCCTATTCTGATTGCTACAGATGTGGCCT